GAAATGGAAATGTAAGAAATATAAAAATATGTAATAGATATATATATATATATATATATATATATATATATATATATATTATTATTATATATATATATATTTATTAATAATTTATTAATAATAGATATAATATTATATATATTATCATATTATTTTTATACGTATTATAATATTATTTTTATACATATTATAATATTATAATATTTATTATAATTTATTATTTATATCATAATTAAAATAACGTCAATTTTATAAAAGAGAATTTATGTTTTCCTCCGTCGATTTCATCGCGTTTTTTAATTACTGCTTGGACTAATTTCAGCGTATACATATATGTACATGTAACCAATTACAGTTTAATATAATCAACATCGAAATCAATTTCAGAAATTATAACAATATCGTATCGGTTGCACAAATTAACTTAATATTCTGCAAGTATCCGTATACTTTGAACGAACTTCGACGAAATAATTATCACTAGAATAATTAAACGCGAATAAAAGTGACCAATTAAAATCATTGTTGTTCGAGAAACGTCGAAAATTCTATTCCGTGTTAACCGTCGCTACACATTATAATTCTCAATGCATCGAACTAGCGAATCGTTTCTCGGAAAATCGCGAATCGGTTTCCACCGGCGGCGAGAAGTGCGCCAATTTGGCGTGCGTGGAACGTACGAGCGCTCGAAACAATCGATCAAAGCACAATCGGCCGACGTGGCAAAGACGATGATTACTAGGTAAACCCGGTTGCCATTGCTTTCCCGACGAGACGCGCGCAAACTGCGCTCGAAGCGGTCTCGCCACGTTCCCGTCTCGTTCCCGTTTCCGAGCGTCGCTCGCGATCGGCAATTGATCGGGCGCGGTAAAATTAGCGGCCGGCGATGCAGGGGCCAATCGCGATCGGACTTTTCTGCGAATGTGGGACGTCGTTGAAACGTTCGACGGATCCGCGAGCAAGCGAGCGAGCGAGCGAGCGAGCGAGTGCGTTAACCTTTTAGGTACGGCTGAATTCTGCGCGAGGCTATTTCTCTGGACGGCAGAGTCTGATGTGTACTGTACAGAGTCTGATACTGTATATACAGGGTGTCCCAAAAACGTCACGCAATCCGAAAGTGGCGGGTTCCTTGGGCCATTTGAAGCAACTTTTTCCTTTACAAAAATGTTCTCCGAGGCACCGTTAACGAGTTATTAGCGAAAAACAGTGACCAATGAGAGGCGAGCTCGGCTGGCGCGAGGCGATCGAGCCAACGAGCGGAACTGGGCTTCGCGCGCTGGTTAGCTGGGCCGCCTCGCGTCAGCCGTACTCGATTCTTATTGGTCGCTGTTTTTCGTTAATAACTCGTTAACGGAGTCTCGGAGAACATTTTTGTAAAGGAAGAAGTTGCTTCAAATGATCCGAGGAACCCGCCGTTTCCGGATTGCGAGACATTTTTGGGACACCCTGGAGACTGTTGTAAATCGACGTGAAGACAAAAGAAGTGTGAAACAATGCATACGAAGACGATTATTTGATTCAAACGATGAGCGAGTGAGCTACCAGAGCAAGCCACTATAGCGGCGCGTCGTCCAGAGAGATGACATTCGCGAAAGCCACTATCGTTCTAAAAGATGATATCCGCAGAAGTCACTATAGTGGCGCGTCGGGCCTAAAAGGTTAATAGGAACGTCTGCTGTTTGCGGAGCAGCGGAGATAGAGACTTTTGCGCGCGAGTCCGCGTCGTTTCCGCGTCGCGCGTCGCGCCGACGGGAGCACGCTAGACAGCGAACAGTCCCGCGGAAGAAAATGGATATTACTCGAATATCATTCTTCTTTCGAACGGTTGACACGTTCCATTTTCTCTCGCGGCGGCGTCGCCGTCCGTCGTTCGTCTCTTGTCGCTCGGCTCTGCCGGGTTATCGCTTTTAAAATAGCTTTTCACCGAGCGCCGCTGCTACGCCGCGGCGTTATTAACGAACTCGCCGGGAACCACGTGCCGAGGGTAATTTATTTATTAGCTCGGAAAACGTAATAGCGTCCTGTTGATCCGACCAGCGGGCTCTGCTCCGTGCGCGCTGCTCGAGCTAGAATTTCAAAACGTGCACCAAGTGTCGTTGACCTCTCTCTCTCGTCGTTGATCTCTTCCCGTTGATATCTTTCTTGTTGTCTAGTTTTCGAGCGTGTATTGTACAGGATGCTTTCGGAAAATACGGCGACGGTTCTTCAGATATTAGCGCATTAGTTCGCTGGCAGCGTCGCGCGTTTGCCACGACCACGATTTTTTACTTCACGCGAAGAACGTCGAGTTTTGTTTTTTGTTATTTTTGTTTCATTTTACCTATTTGTTATTTTTATTTTATTCTATTTATTGTTTTCTATATTATTATTCTTTTATTTTATTTTATTTATTATGCCTTCTCGTTGTTCCTAATGTGACAGAAATTTGTTACATTTAATTGCCAAAAATTGACTAATTCGGTTGTTTTAATTGGTTTGACAGTTTTAGCGTTAATAATAGTAATACAGTACATTTTTCCTAATCGACACTCACGAAACGCAAAAGTGAACAATTTGGAAAGAGAAGATTTTATAGTTGTTGAAAAAAATAATATATAGTTGTTAAAAATAGTAATATATATAATAATAATATATAATATGTAATAATAATAATATATATAAAAAATGTATATAATATACAATAATAATAAAATATATATATATAAAATATGTATAATATATAATAATAATAATGATAATAATAATAATAATAATAATAATAATAACCGAGCGTCAATCCGAGCGTCAATTAGGGAGAATTCACAGTATTTCGAAAATAACGTAACAACACCCATAAATTCTTCTAATGTCGTTACGCTTTCAACTCGTCCATTTTTGCCATAAACGAACAAAATCCGCGGTCTACCGATCCCGCATAAGAGATACGCGTCCGCTTCGACGGTTCGCGTAAACATTTCAAACAGTCTGCACAATTTTTATACAGCTCGTTTCGCGAACGAGAGTATTAGAGAGGAGGCGACGAGGAAGGAGTCGCGCGTAGAAAGCGACGTGGTTTAAACCGCCGACAACGGCGTCTGCCATTTTCTCGTTACAGCAGCGATGATATGCGGCGGCCTGGTGATGTATCCCATAGGATGGGATAACAGAGAAGTACGGGAGTCCTGCGGGAAGGGTGCTAACGTGTACAATCTCGGTGAGTATTGCTCCATGAAAAGATCTCTGCGCCGAGTCGCGGGAACATTCGCGCGGCCGTTTCTAAAACCCCTTCGAAAGAATTCGCATCCGCGCGCATTCTCTCGCCGGTGTTCTCCTCCTTTCTCACCGCCGCATTCTGGGATCCTGAAGCAATCTCCCCCCTTATCGTGGCGGCCGATAAATTCGTAAACGCGCGATCGAGAGTTCCGGGTCTTTGTCGGATGCTTCGAAAATTGTCCCATCAACTCGGTTCGAATAAAGACGGTAACGTTTGATGAAGCGAGAGAATCGAAATTGGCGAATCGAAATCTAACTAAGTCATATCTTTTTAATCGGATAATGTATATATATAATAACTAGACTGCACGTTACTTTCGATATACAAGGTGTTCCGCATTTTTCCGTGCACATTTCGACGATGTGTTCCACGGGAAAAAATGGAACTAAAATGTAATATGCCGAAAAGTGCATAAATGCTTCGTTGAGAAATTATGAGAAAAATACAGGATATGATTTAAACGCTGCCAAGTGCGTCTATAGTCTTCGCGCGACAAGAAGGCACCGTTGCGTGCACAATCCCCCCCTCTTTCTAGCTGCCCCACCGCCGCAACTGTCGGCCGCTGTCGACCGCCGTCGATCATTCGTCGCCGTTTTCGGTCGATAGCGATCGATAACCGTGGCAGTGGGGCGCTAGTAAGAGGGGGGATGTAACCACAAAGGTGCTTTCGAATAATGATACGATATAATATAACGATATAAATGCACGAAACAATATCCCGATCGAACGGCAAAGCATCGGGATTCATGCTCCGAACGCAGAGGTTTCCCATTCGCATGACACTCTCACCGGGCAAGATTGCACCGTGAACCGTGTCCCACATTGTTCCTCGATCGTCGAATACTCCGACGTCGATCTGTTTCAGGAAAGTGCTCGCTGTCCTGGTCGAGCCACCTGCTGATCAGCTCGGTGGCGTTGCTGATGCTGTGCTTCGGGCTGAGCTTCTGCGCCGCGCGACACAAACCATCGAACCCTCGCACCGATCCGCTGCGCATTTGACAATCGAGATACTCCCAATCGATTGACGCGTACGCATCGCCGAAGAAGACCACACTTTCGTTCGTGACCGTCTGCTGATCCCGAGCACCGCAGACCGCGATCCCTGATTACTGGCAGGCCGGCTGCTCGGTTGCTCTCCTCGATCCTCTCGATCCTCCTTTCCTTCGTCATCGATTTCCTTTTCGTTGATCCTCCTTTCTTCTGCCATCGATCTCCCTTTTCTAGATCGTTCTTTTTTTCGGAAATCTTCTTTATCTCCTCGTTTCTTCTTCTAGTGATCTCCTTTTCTTTGATTCTCCTTTCATTGATCTCCTTTTCCTAGATCTTCGTCTCTTCTTTCATTGATCTCCTTTTCCTAGATCTTCGTCTCTTCTTTCATTGATCTCCTATTCCTAGATCCTCCTTTCTTCTCCCATTGATTTTCAATTTAACCTTGATCCTCGTTTTTTCTTCTATTTTTTCTTCTTCTTTTCTTTGATTCTCCTTTTCCCTTTCATTGATCTCCTTTTCCTAGATCTTCGTTTCTTCTTTCATTGATCTCCTTTTTATAGATCCTCCTTTCTTCTTTCATTGATCTCCTATTCTTAGATCCTCCTTTCTTCTCCCATTGATCTCCAATTTAACCTTGATCTTCGTTTCTTCTTCCATCGATCTCCTTTTCTTCGATTTTTCTTCTCCCTTCCATCGATCCCTTTTCATTGATCCTTCTTTCTTCTTCCATTGATCTCCAATTTAACCTTGATCCTCCTTTCCTTTTCCATCGATCTTCATTTCCTAGATCCTCCTTTCCTCCTCCATCGATCTCCTTTTTGCCTTCCATCGATCTCCTTTTCATCGATCCTCCTTTCTTCTTCCATCAGCCTTCTTTTCTTGGATCCTCCTCTCTTCTTCCATCGATCGTAATTTTCTTAGATTCTGCTTTCTTCTTCCATCGATCTCCTTCCCCTCGATCCTTCTCCATTCTCCTTTAATGGACGACGAACGTTTTCGTGTGTAGCCTAGCGACGAGATCGAACGAATCTCGCGTTTCGCGAATGCAACTTCCGGCGATATCTCCCGGAATAACTATAGCAAACAGAACCATAGTTTCCCAGCCTTGGACGGTGTTCTAGATCAAGGGGTTATAGGTCAACGTTCTGCTTTCTTTCGTTGCTTCGATCCTTGGCGATCGCTTTCCGTACAGCGTTGATCCGGCGACGAAATTTTCACACAGAAATGAATTCCACGAACTTTCATTAAACATCGAATACCAAATTTGAATAAACTGCGATCTTTTGCGAGAATAGGATCCTCAATTTGGTCAACAGTTGTGCCAAGGACGTTGGCTCGCTTTGCGCTCGTTTTGTATATCGTAATCGTGTCGTTTTCATTCTCAATTTTATTATTGTTAACTCGACGCTATCTCGACGCTAAACCGATCAAGCAACGATAGCAACCGGCGTGCAAAAAAGGTCAAAGCAAGAAGATCGAATTTATGAAAAATTTCCCAAAGTTTTCGTTACAAAGCTCGCCCCGGTAACGCAATTTTTCCAAGCATTCTCCACGACCAAAGTGTCTACAAAGTTTGCGCAGAAACGACCATTTCGAGCGCGCTGGATTTAGCGTTGATATTATCACCGCTACAATTATTATTATTACGTTGTATCACCGTAGAAAAATGAAAAGGGCATCCGACCATTTCGTGCCAACTAAATCCAACCGAATCGAATTGAAAATACCGTATAAAAATGGAACAGGTCAATCTGGTGCCAAAATTTCGGGCCGAACTCTCCCGTCGAGTGATTCAATATTCCGCAAAAAAGAAGAAAAGAAAAGGAAACTTAATTTCAGAGAAATCGTGGATGCCAGCACGGCATCGAGGGGTAAGCTCGAGCGAAAGACGCGCGAAACGGGGGTAGGGGGACCCTCGTAACGGTGTCTCTGCGGACCGGAAACGGTTGGGAAACTATGGCGTAATCGGTTCCGCCCATCGCGAAACGATTTCCGCTGCAATTCCGAGGCATCTTCGGTAAAGAACAAAAAAACAACAAAACGCGCGATCCTTCCCCCGGCAGCGATAATCGTCACGATCGAACGGGAGGAACCGGGTCGAGGATAATTCGTTAACCGGCCGCGCCGAGCTTCCTCGCAGCCGCGCGAGACGCGCGCGGATCGACGCGCGCCGTGTCGCTTCGAGTCGAACTCGTGCCGCGCGAAGCGTTTCGCGTTGCGAGTTTCTCGGCTCGCCGGCGAGGATAATAGATTCAATTACGAAATTGGACGTAACGCGCGTTCCCCGGGACAACAACGGCGCCGCCGATTAATTCCTATCGAGGGACTTAAACTCGCGCGGCAGCCGCCGCGTCGCTCGGCGGAAACCGAATCGCGCGCGGGGCTGCAAAACTCGAGCCTAAACGATCCGGATCGGTTCCTCTGCGCGCAAACTTCTCGGTCCCGTCTCGATCCAGGAGCCTCGGATCCTCGGATCCAGGGGGATTCGTCGCCGGCGATCGATGATCGCGCACGGAATGCCGCGAGCGCGGCGACGACCCTCGGGACCTCGTTTCCGGGACGCTGAAAGAGAGACTCGCGTCCTCGCGAAAGCAATCGCATTGTCCGGACTAAATTCCCGCTGTTCGAACAACAGCCAAGGGGTTCGTTCTGGCTCCACGCACCGCCGGTTCATCGCGGAATCGATTTCGACGCGGCGCGGCGCGGAGCGGAGCGGCGTCAACGTCGGCGTCAAGCGACATCGTCGAATTGGTCGCGGTTCGACGAGCAAGCCCCGTCGGATCGACCGCTGGAAAAGAATGTAACGCGCGAATGAGAATTCCCCGTCACGGAACCGCGCTGAAAAGATCTCCCCGCGATTGCCGTGCGCGACCTCCGCGACCTCCCGGTTTGGTTACGGTGCGTTTGGATTCGAGCGAACGACGAAAGCCCCGAAAGCTTTCGTGCCGGCTCGCGGCTTATTGTTCGCGGCACCCCGGCGAAGTAGGATTCCTTGCTTTCGATAAATCTCGTAATCGTTGCAAGCATGTTTGGTTCTTTATTTTATCGTGTTTCTTCTTCAGCTTTCATTTTCCGCGAAGGAACTCGTAACACGTGGGTGCCCGATGTGGGAGACGTTTTATTTTTTAAAGTCGTGATTCTCGATTGACAGCACTTTATCGTTAGAGCAGGCGCGCGTTTTAAGACTAAAATGAGTACTGGGAATTCTTTTCAATTGTCCGTCAATTTGCGAACGAAAGTGGACAATTTGAGATAAAAAGAGATACGATTATTCGAGCCGTGTGCTTCGTTTTGTTTCAGTTGTTGACAATCGGCGGCTGTAAAGACGAAGCCGCAGGGCTCAAAAAATCGCATTTCCTTTTCCCAAATTGTTCATTTTTGCTAACAAGCTGAAAACAATTAGGGAGCATTTATTGTATTCATTTAGAATCTGACGGGAAACGCGGACGAAATAATTCCGCCTCTTCGCGATAAAGGAAAACGTATGCAAATGTTAATATTAATATGATTACATGTTTTTGTTCTTTACTGTAGCAACGAGTATTCACCCGTGTATATATATAATATATAAAAATGAGTTCTAAATACGAGGACCAGTTTGGATTTCTAAGAAATTTATTTCTTTCCCCCGTTTTCACGCGTTGAATTCTGAATGAATTTCCTATTCGATCGGATATTTATTATGATAGTGTCGAAAATATAAATTTATCTGTTAGGCTCTATTTCTTATCGGTCGTCGAAATAAAATTTTACCGAACCCTGATTTAAGCTGGCACTCGTTCCGATCGTAAAGACACGTTTATGAATTATTTATCCAATATACAGGCTGTTCCATAATTATGTCAACACTTGGAAAGTGGTGATTCCTGAGGTCATTCGAAGTAACTATTCCCTCAGCGAAAATGCAATCCGCAGCTTCGTTTACGAGTTATCAAGGAAAAACGGTGACCAATGAGAAGCGAGCTCGGCTGGCGCGAGGCGTGCCCAGTTCCGCTCATTGGCTCGGCCGCCTCGCGTCAGCCGAGCTCGCCTCTCATTGGTCAGTCTTTTTCGTGAATAACTCGCGAACGAAGCCGCGGATTGCATTTTCGCTGAGGAAAAAGTTATTCCAAACGACCTCAGCTATCCTGTTAACACATTGACGGCCGCGCCGAGAACATCTCAAAATATTTCATAGAATTAAAGTATCTCAATCGATTGAATTAAACTTGCAAAGCAAAGTTAATCTCGATAAAATCAAGAAATTTGTACGCATAAGCACAGAAATTAAATATTAAATAATTTCGTCGCGCGCATATGGATAACGCGACAGTCAACGCGTTACCATAATTATGAAACACCCTGTGTCCGTTACTCGCGGCAAATATTGCAACGACGCTCGTCGAAGATCCGAACAAACGTCTCGTTGCATTCGTTGCTTTCACAAGCTCGTATAAAAAAAAACACCTGTTTCCGCGGTGCGAACCGAGCGAACCGCGAACCCAGCGTTGATCCAAACGCACCGCAGCCGTCATCCGTCGACGCTCCCCAAGCTCGTTCAAGATCCTTCCAGCATCGAGGAGGAGAATCCGTGAATTACCGCGAGCAAAGGAAACGGACGAGCAAAAGAAAGGAGTCGCGGCGTGTTCGTATCGAGCGGATAAGACGCGCGCGTGATCCTCGGCGAAGAACGACGGCCGGGAGAGAGAGAATAATCGTCGCGAGGGCGGTTTTAATGTTCGAGTATCGATTCGGTACGTCAACGGACACGCGGGCCGAGAGAGCTGCCGCCTCGACTGTCGACTTTGACCGAGCGCGGCCCGACTCGGCCCGGCCCGGTCCGCTTTCGCGACCGCCTCGGAAGTTCTCCCGGAGGAAATCGAGTCGCGGGGACAGCCAGGATTTACCGTCGGAGATTTAAGTGACCGGCGTGTAAAAGAGGATTCACGGCGCGAAACAATCGGACCGAGGACTCGTCCGTTTCCCGGACGACCCGCTTCGAATCGTTTCGGGTCCCGCGGACCCGCGATTTTTTGGTCGTCTCGGCGCCGCGCCGGGGTCGTTCACGGTTCTTCCGCGTGCTCGGCGCACGTAAACGCCGTTCCCCCCTCGAAAATTATTACGATCGACTTTCCGCCCGCGAACGTTCCGCCGAGTTTCCCCTCGCCGCGCCCCGGCCCGACCCGGCCCGTTTTTCCGTGCCCCCGGAAAATGTTTTGCCGTCGAACGAAAATCGATCGGCCCATTCCGCCGCTTCGTCCCCACGTAGGCGAACTTCCGGAACTCGATTTTACCAGTCTCGTCGTCTTCTTCGGTTTTTCTTTCCGCGGCCACCGCCCCCGCCCGTCCCCCGACAAATCGCCCCGAGTTCACGGCGAGGGCCGCGGTTAGGCGAACGTCTCAGATCCATCAAATCACGCGGGGATAGCGCACGTCCTCGGGAATTTATCACGGGAAAACGGAGATCGCGCGCCGCCGAACTTCTTCGAACGAACACCGCTCGGCCGCGATTCGATCGCGCGGACGAATCTCTTCCAGGAGGAGCGTGTTTTCGACGTCCCTGTGTTCGACGGGCACCTTGGCGCGTTGATTTAGAATCTGCGGAACGCGTCTCTTTCTAATTTCCCGCGAAATTAACCGAGCCGCTTGGCGGCGGATTGTCGCGCGCGAAAATTAGCGACGCGCGGCGAGTCGACAATCGGACAGTTTTTAGGACGGAATAACTTTGGAGATGAGAGAGGGAGACTAGTTTAATAGGCGACGTTTTCAAAAGTTTTGTGAAACATCGCGATTCGTTGGAACGAAATAAAAAGATAAGGAACTCGCGTTTTTTAACTTCTTTTTATGTCAGCTTCGAACGGAAATTCAAAGTACGCGTTTCTCGGGTCTCCGCGGCTTGCGGTAAAAATACGCTGAAAATTTTGATCGAAGTCGGTTCGACGTTACGGTTAGACTACGATTTTTATGCGAAATATAAATGTTTATAATGCGCATCGATCGCGATGAACGGGAACTGCACAGACATTTATTCCTGTCTTGAATCATTTTAACGAGTTATAGTTAATGTGATCGAGTCGTTGAATTTTTATTAATAATATCACGGTTTTGTGTTTCGCCAACTCATTTTTGTTACAAACGCATAAAATCCGCGGCCTGGTTTCGAGCCGCGAACGATTAAACATCGCGAAAATCGCGGCTTTTCCACGACGTCGACACCTTCGACTCGATAACTCTAAAAAAATCTGCAGATTTTTACGTCTACCCGTGCTTTTACTTTCTAAATTTCTATATTTTCGTTATAGGTTCAGATGGAAGAAAGCTGCAAAACCGCGAGAATTTTATTTTATGTTGTCGTTTCAGACAACAGCAATTTCCGGTACGCCAACGATTTTTTAAATGTTCGTCGTAGGGGTTCGGAATAAAAAAATCGCAAAACCGCGAGTATATTATTCTTTTTCTTGTTATTCCAAGCAACAGGAAAATTCGGAAATAAGTATTGTATTTCAATCATTGCACACGGTAAACTAGTCCCTCTGACTCTAATCTCCGAAAAATTCGAATCATCCGGTCCAGCTTGAAAAAAAGAAGCATGTACCGTTTTAAACGGTGTCCGAATGTTAACACGAACGATCGTACATTGTCTCTATTATTGTCCACTCAAGACCGGACGTGTTGTCAATATTTCAAATAACTGGAAACCGAATGTCAATAACACACGAAGCAGACGCAGTTCGCCAATATATCGGCAATGTCGCGTCTAGAATTCATTGTACGGGTAGGAGACAATAAAAACTTTTATTTCCGCCCGCGGTCGTGATAGATTCCCGAAATCGTCTACGCGATTTCATCGGAGGACATTCTACGTATCCGTTTCGTGGATCCATTTGGATCTAACAAGGCGATACGGTGATTTCTCCCACGTTGTCCCTCGGCTTGGAAACGAAAGCGAAAAAACTTCGGAAGAGCAGATGCATTAATTTCTCCTGGAAATGTGCCTGTGTGTAAAGGGAATCGAGAAGTCCGCCATCTTTCTGTCGCATCGTGGTGCTTCTATTTGCACTAATTTTTCCCGAAAATGTTCGGAAATCGGAATTGGAAGCGGCATTTCCGAGAATACCGAGTCACGATTTTTCGAGCTTCGCGGCTCGTTTTTATAGAAACTCGGGACAGTCGGCGAAAAAAGTCCGCGGCCTGTCGGCGCGACATTAATATGAATCTACACGGTGTCCCAAAATTATGGTACTTCCGGGTAATTTAGGTTTCCCGAGGTTATTTGAAGTAACTTTTTCCTCGGCGAAATTGCAATCCGCGGCTTCGTTCACGAGTTATTAGCGAAAAAACAGCGACGAATGAGAGGACCAGCACAGGGAAATTCATGGCGACCCGAAGTTTGGCATTTCCGGGAGAAATTACTCATTTTATCATTCGAGCCTCGACTCAGACCTGTTTTTTATAGTCGCCGATTGCCGACGACTGTAAAAACGAGCTGCGAGGCTCGCATAATCGCATCTCCTCTCTCTAATTTATCCATTTTCGTCCCCAAGCCGAGTAGCAATGCGGGAGAAAGGCAATTCGGAGGCCACGTGACAATTCGAAACCACCCTTAGCATCGACGTAGCAATAAATTACATAGGCGTAGAACCAGCACTGGGAAATTCGCAGCAACCCGAAATTTGACATTTCCGAGTGAAATTACAGCAGTTTCACGTTGCACCGAACGGATCCTTGAAGCGGAACGCAAGGTCCGGCGGATATTTAGAAACGAGCGGATTTCGCGCGGCGATTTTCCGCGAGGCCGAAGAAACGCGGAATCGCGATCGGTTTTTCGTCGCAGCGGCTTTCGCCGCGACGCGGAGTGCAGCGGAGGGCGAGGGGGATGCCCGGAGAATTTGTAACCGTTCTCGACCCTTCCCTCCTTATTTGCATGGAAATTGCAGCTCCCTCGAATCGCGCGAAAAAAGAATGCCGGAACGTTGCCTCGACGACGAGACTGTATCACCGCGACGCGACGCTACGGAGTTTAATAAATCAACCGGCCGGTCGTGGACCGCGATTGCGAATGTCCGCGAACGAGGGTCGAAAATGGCGCGAACGATCCAGGACCTCGCGATCGACGCGAAGCGGAGTCACCCGCGGAGATTTCAGTTTCAATTTTCGGCGTCGCGCGGATTTTGAAGACGCGTTCGCGAGGAATTCGTCCGATCGCTTTATCGTTTCCGGAGAAGTAAATACATCGTCGGCATTTCTACGTTGAACGTACTTTTTTACCTCTCGCCGTACCGTTTTCTTTGTAATCGCGATAATTAGAACTGTCTCGGCCGCAATCATTTCTTCGAAGGAAAGGAAATTTTATTTTATATTGCGCGGTGACATCTGCTCGAACAGTGACACCTGTTTAACTGCCATGGCGGTCGAAATATTTTTATGGCGGTTCCATATTTGTTATTTTGACATTTCTGGTATTTTTATAATATTGTAAATACTTCAGTCTCGAGATTCACCGACACGGACTTTGCGAACAGAATTCTTACCTCAGCAAATTGTCGTACCGCTGGGATAAACTTTTACACCCTTTTCCACCCCTTTTCCAGAAGTTCTTTAAACGTTCACCA